CACAATTGTCCGTGTGCAGGTACGCACGTGCGCCAGCCCGTTAGACACGTGATTTCGGATGCCCTTGGACAGAGAGCAAACCACTACCATAGGCTATTATGATACCGTTCTATTTTGACCCCAAGACAAAGCCGAGGCGTCGGAAACTACAAAAACAAGACAAGGGAAGATTGTAAAATCAGTAAATTTTTAATCTATTTTACCTGCTAAATCGAACTCTTTTTTGGTGAACAAATATGAAAATATATTAAGAATTCTACGGAAAGAATTTATTTGCAATAGTAATTATAATAAATACTGAATATTATATGAAAACTAAAAATTTTACCCCAAAACAAAAGTCCGCTTATTCAGTATAATATAATGGTATAAAAAATATATAACGTAATATATTAATATAATACTACATATTTAAGCAATTATTTTACTAATAGTTTTGCCTGTTTACTAGTAATCTAATGTATATTTAAATAACAACTTTCTCGTTTATTGCTATTTGTATATTATTAAGATGAAAAGAATTAATAATATTATATTATTTCATTCTCTTTTGCCTTTAGGGACTTATTAATAAAGCAGAATTTTCAATTATGTCTTCCCGCCGTGGCTAAGGCGGCATTTTATGTGAGTTTCAAGGTGCAATTATGAAAATGATTTTTTTTAATAGCAACTGTATGACTGTAAATATTCACAGTCACCAAGAAATGAAACTGCTCTTTTAAAAATTGTATAAATACACTGCTACACACATACACACACATAAAAGTGGTGCTCTTTAAAAGATTGATATTTTTATATAATTGCCTTTTCAGTAATATTATACACTACTGATAGGAAAAAAATTCCACACACCTGTACTATAACTTGATTTGTATATTTTTATATATTAATGAAAGTTTCACGTTTTTTAACGTTTAATAATTGAGTCTTTGCTAAAAAACAAAAACAAAATTACTAAATTTGTTTTAACTTTGTTTTAGATTTTTAATTAACATTTCAATATCGCGATTTCCTCCTCTTGCCTTATTTACATCTCGAAGACGCCCCGGCATACCAATATGGAAATGTCTCTTTGCTGGAGGTTAATACAATCTTTACGAAGAGCCCATTCAAGAGCGTGGAGTGAACCAAAAGTGATGGACGTATTCGTTTGTTGAGGTTATCCCATAAATTTTTGATGGGGTTCAAGTCTGGAGAACGGGCTGGCCAGGCTAAGACCCTGATGTTATGCTGTTGAAGGTACTATGCGTGCGACATGTGGACGGGCATTATCGTGCATTAGAATCGGATTGTCGCTGATTTAATCGAGGATAGGCATCGCATGATGTTCCAAAATTTCAACCACATAGCGAGTGGCCGTCAAAGACCCTCCACGAATAACAACCAACTCTGTGTTTGGCTCTGGGAAAAATTACAAGCTTCGTACCTTTCATTTCGCCTTCTCCACACTCTTCCACGCTCATCGTAGGAGAGCTGGAGGTCGTAGAGCAAATATACACTCAGCTATAAAAAGTACAGCAGAATAATCGTCCGTACAACTCTTTGTGTACTGGTCAATTCTGGTCCTCTTACGGGCGAAAAGCCATCAGTCCATACCATGCTGATGAATCCCTTGAACAACAGTAAGGTGCCAGTTTCACAAAATTCCCAAAGTCAAAAAACTGTCATCCTGTGGTTATGTTACCCTAGGGCTTTCAGAACCGGGCCTTCCGTGGTAGGACCCAGTTTCACAAAAACGTCTAACGGCGTCGCACAGGGTTTCGTATGGAAATCCGATGGCAATAGCCGCAAACCTGATGGAACGTCCATCATCAGTAAGTGCCACAGCACGCGCAACATCCTGAGCACTGTGGCATTTTTAAGTTTAAAAATTGAAATTAAGAAATCAACGATGAAAACTAAACAGTTTATTGCTTCAGATTAGAAATGAGACTGATTCCGTAAAAAGTAAACATTGAAAAATCCTTTATCTTTGTTTTGGATAAAGGATTAAGGGCATTTTCCAATTGATATTCCCAATTTAAAACAACATAAAGAAATATTTATTGATAAAAATAATGAGAGAAATTAAGGGCAGAATTTTCTTTTATCGAGAAAATGATAAGAAAATCAATTGGGCGGAATTTTTTGACTGTCAGTGTATTTTCATGTAATGCTTTACTTCTAATATTGCTTGCTCATGCAATCCCATAACGTGCCAGCATGATCGTTTTCCAAATAAACAAGGGTTTATGTACTACAAGACTTACATCATTCTTACACACTTCTACAGAAATCTCTTGTTTATGTATTTGCTGTATGTTGGGAAAAAACTTTTGGACGTTCCACTCTTTAGTGTACATAAACATAACTTATTTTCTTCAGTGGACACGAGATAAAATATAAACAATGACTCTGGTAGTCGTTAGGGCAAAGAACCGTCCTTCTACTACACTTTCTCCTCATTGTTTCCACGGAGCAATGTCAAGGGCGATACGGAAAGGTATTAGTTGGAATTATACGTTGCGCCTCAGATAAACAACCCTGTTGTTAAAAGTCGTTTATTAAAAAAAATCGATTACAAGGAAACAGATAAAAAAAACTGGCGTTTCAAGAAGGAAAGCTGGCAATCGAAGTTTCTAAACTGAAAGTGAAAAGAGATTGTACATATGTACATGCTACCAGAATTGACTATTTTGCTATAGGCCACGTCTAATCCTGACATGAGAAATCTACTAATTATCGTCCAAAATGCAGGTTAACAGTACTCAATTTAATTGTTAATTATTATCTGAGCAAAGCCGGTAAAAAAACATTAATTTTATTCCTCACAAAATATAATGGGTTTCAATGTTAAAATGAAGTATAGTTTCCTCACTAATAGCTCCCCGTGGCCATTTCATATGTCGCCGAGAATCGATTCCTGATTACACGACATTTGGAAATTCGAAAGGTTGTAGGTTGAGACCGGAAGTTGGTATCCGAGTGGATCAAAGACACCATAGCTCAAGTGGTTAGAACAGCGGCGTATTGAGCCGAAGGTTGTGGGTTCGAATACCGCTCATGGCACTAGCTTTTCATTTCAACCAAAACCTTACATAAAAATATTAATTAATTGAAAGAATTAATTTTATTATTTGTAAAAAACCTTGGTTTATCAATTCGGTTGTTTTTGTAAATTTTGTAAAATGTTTAACCTGACATTGTAGTCCATGTCGAGACATGATGTGTTTCCAGAATTTGCAATTTAATGGAAAAACCTCGTAAAACCCTCAATTTGCATAATTTATCCGGTAATTTCTGGATCCGGAGTAGTTTATATAAGCATATTGGTCTTAAAGCTGCAGTTGTTCAACAATGAAGGGAATTAGTTGTACAAGTTTTGAGGTTGAAAGTTCGTAAATTCGAAGGTACCCAAAGCTTTGGAGTGAGTAGCAAGCCGAGGGAGGAATTCAAATTAAGACTTTGCCTCATCACTGTGGTTATCCGGCCATTTATTACATAGGTAAGCAACTTAAAACTTAAATCAGAGTCACGAGCGGGATTCGAACCCACGATCTTCGGCTCAATACGCTGCTGGTCTAACCACTTTCGGTCACGATAGATCAAGTGGTTAGAGCAGCGGCGTATTGAGCCGAAGGGCGAGGGTTCGAATCCCGCTCGTGACGCTAAATTTTTCATTTCAATCAATACCAAAAGATTAATTAGTTGAACTAAGAATTTATTTGATTTATAACTGGAAATAAATGCGAAACGTGGGGTAATCGACAGGATATTTGGCAGGAGAAATCTGAGAATAGATAAAGCAAAAGACTAGATAAAAAGAAGAAAACAGTTTATTATTGAAATATTTACAATTATACTAATAAAAGATGTAAATTTGGAATTCGTTCCTGTGTCTTCAGTGATTGTTTCGAAGGGCTCTTTTCAACTTTCTTTTCCCCCTTTCCCAAATTCTTATACCTTTGAATGTTTGTCTGCTAGTGTTCAAATGAGAGTTCTGCGTGCAAGATTTTATCTCAACCAATACCTTACATAAAAATTAATTAATTGAAAGAAGTTATTTGGTCAATCGGATCGCGAAATGTAATGGATTTACAACTTAAGCTTCACAAGCTACTTCTTAGCTTGGTAGTTAGGAAACCTCAAAATAAGCCAGAAAAAACTCTCCATGTATTTATGCTCTAAATTTCATGTTGCGTAATTTAAATTTTTTATAGAAATTTATATGGTATAATTAAAGGTATTTTAGCCCATACAATATTGCATATATTTAAGGTTTTAGTAGTGCATATTGTACGGTATATTTGATAGTTTTTATTGGATATATATCGGGGCTCTTCCGACTCTCCTTAGTCGATTGGCGCAAGCATTATGCTCGTTAACATAAAAATAAGCGAGATAAAAGGAAAATATCATAATTATTTTAGAAATATTTCAGGATTCATAGTCATTTTTTTACATTCCACACTCCTGAGTCGATCGGCTTTTTTATGCCGCATAACCATTAACAATGGGCTTAACCCGTTTAGGGCTTGGACTTAGTTTACCATGATCTTGCATTTTGCAAAATAGAGTATTTACTTTAGTTTGCACATAATAAAAAATTGGAAACAAGTGAAGTTAAAATGTTAGACAAAATAATGAAAATGAAACGAAAAATTACCTCGATTATATGAAATGAAATTACAACTTCAATCTGGTCGGCCGGGCCAAATAAGGAGTTTTCCAAGTAGTAGATTTTTCGATCCAGTCTACTCAAAGATTATGACAAAAATAAAATATTTCAAAAATTGACAAAAATGATGAGGGCCCATATAGGATATTATGTTATCACGGAAATATTGATTTCTTATCAAGGTGGAAATCACGTTCGTAAATCCATATGCTCCTTAGGACTCGTGTTTAAGCCCTAAGATTTTTTTCTTTATTGCATATTCTTGAAATGTTATAGTTTTGCCCAAAGTTAAAAGTTTTTTACATGAGTTGACACTTATACTATTCAAGGAAGTGTAAAACAATTACAAAAGGACGGCTAAACAAAGTATGTTTATTGATTTAGTTCGTCTTGTATTGGATCGATACCATCCTCCGTTTTTGGTTTTGATTTCCCCCTCATGACAAGTGCTAAGTAGTAGGCCGAGACGAACACGATCCCGCGGATCTGGATGGTGTAGACGTCGCCTGGGACAATTATGGTTCTGATGGTGGCGATCGCCGTTATGACCATGCTTAAAAGTATCGTTGTGTATACGTGAGAGTCGGATTCCATCATCGTCAGAAAAACGGTCAAAACGCAACTGGAGACCAGCAACTCCCTAAGAACACCGGATGCAAAATTTGTGTAGTGTTAAAATAAAATTAATTTCACTACCTGTAGATATCGATGAAATTGGACCAGTTTCCGGCTCTGAAAGGTCTATAAGCGTCCGGCAAAGTCTTGACGACCTGCCCGGCGATCAGGAGGAGAAATACGAGGAAGATGGACCGCCTTATGGATTCGCAGTTTAGTTGTTCCTTCAGTCTGTAGCTTTCCATCAATGTCCAGAGCCAGTCAACGGCCATCACAGTAAAAAAGCATAAACCTTCGAATCGCGCAGAGCTCAAGCAGAAAACGATAGACGCGGAAGTGACGACGTGTGTGATCCTGTTAAATCTATTTGCTTCGCCTATTATCGGTAAGAGTGGGGAGAAAATTAACGGCCATGCGAAATATCTAAAAAAAAAACTTTATTCCGATCATTGGCATCAATGGAATAATAATCACATACTGCAAGAACCAAATGTCTCCTTTGTAAGAGAGAGCCATATTTTCAACAAGCATCCCGACAGCAATAAGGATTGTTATGAAAATGCTCAGAATCCTGTCTTTAAGAGGGCGAACCCATAGGGCGGCGAAGCCGGACGTGCAGAGTGCTATGGTCGCTGCAAAATTGATGGCCTTGGTTTCGGGTTTCTGGTAAGCCGGAAGATGTAAAGCCCCAAGGAGCGCTGCCGTCATCAGGAACCAACCTGTTGTGAGAATAAGTGGAGCTTTCGAGAATCTCGGAAGAGTCGGAAGCAGCGCGAGGACGCAGATGAAAAAAGAACTGGTCGTTACAGAACTCATCAAAGAAAACTCCGCTGCCATGACAAGCACTAGTGCAAACCAAGAAACTTTCGACACCTGAAAAATTCAAAAATAAAAAACATACTTGGATGTAAATTTGAGGAAAGACTCACTGTCCGTAAATTGATGGTCTTGAACTTTGGGAGCCAAACGTAATACCTGCTCATAACCGCCCAGGTAAAAATTAGTGGGAGTAAAAGATAGAGATGGTAAGTGTTAGGCCAAGGCGTGATAAAAGGTAAGGAAAAGAAACAGCAGGACAGTCCGCAGAAGAAAAGGTGAAGGTAAATTAGGACGAACGGCTTAGGGGGTACGTCCTCGTCATAGGCGAACTCCGTGAGAAGAAGCGCTAAGTAACTTAAACTGGTCACGACCATCAAACCAACTCTCACAGTGTCCAAAACCGCAGCGAACCTCTTATATTCTTTTAGACAGAAAACTGCTATTTTCCGGCTGACATCCGCCGATTCTTGGTACTTGCCTTGCTCTAGAAGTTTCTTGGATTTGGTTAAGTTGCTCTCGATTTCTTCGACATCGAACTTCTTCCAGAATGGTATAATATCGTTGTCCCCTTGTGTGGCAGAGGCCAAATTGAACAGCTGTAAAAGGTTCCTCAATACTCTAATATTCCAGTGACGATAACAACAAAATTCGCATTTACCTGTACTGCATTGCAATATAGCCCGTTAGCCTTGTCTTCATCTGAGCTTAGATAATCGTCGGGAACGATGCCTTTAGAGTGTGCGGGCACTTCACGTTTCAAAATAGCAGAGACAAGGGTCGTCAGGTCATTGGAGCTGATTGGCGTTTTACCTTTGCAGAATCGTTTCCCCCAGAGCAAAAGAGGTCCATCACCCTCCCCCCAGAATATTATCGATATGTTATCCCCTTTGTAAAACTTATCCAGCTCGGCCTTTAAGTCGACGACACCTTTTATCGTCTGACGCAGGATGTCCATGTTCGACGTTCGCAAATAACCGAGAAAACGAAGGAAGATTATAACGCTGCGGGCGCTGAGGTGCCGCGCGAGGTCAGCATCTAGCGCACTCTCGACTAGCAATTGTTTCAAATTGTCCAACACTTCTTTGTCACCTAACCTTCCGCCCTCTTTGCTGTAATCGATATCCGCCATCTGGAAGTAAAGTAATTTTAGTCAAACCGGATTCAACAAATGAGATCATATTAGAGCCCGTAGCCTCAGATAAGAGCCACCTAATTCTTTTTTGTTATGATACATTTATTTTATGTAAATTTACCTGTTATAAAGAACCAGTGCCTATTTCCATAGCTTAATAAGATAATTTTATTAATCACACTATAAATGTACTATTCAATGTTCTTCATTGATTATTCAGATATCGTGAGATGCGATCGGGTGTGATGTAGGTTTCAGAAAAAAATTTTCTTTATCGTGCCAACGTTTCGATCTTTTATTGAGATCATCTTCAGGGCTCAAAGTGTTTGTCTTCTGTGTAATTGTGCCATCCTTGCGTGTCGTGTTGAGAGTGCCCTTCTTCATTGAGCTATATTCTACTTTCGTGTCAACTAGACATGATAAACCATAGACGTCAATTGTACAAAGCATTGTATCGAAAAGGAAGCCAAAACTCCTTCTTTATTGAAAACTTTCACAAAATGTAATTAGATAGTTTTTGTTCATCCGCATCATCTCTCAACAGCTGATTTACAAAAGAATTTACTAACTTAGTAGTTCTGACTTTTGTACTCATTTAGAAGCGAAAATTCAAGTTGCCACTGTCTGCACAGACAAAGCCAAAGCTTTCGATCTAGTTAGTTTACAACGTGTTGTGTCTTGATTTGAAAATCTCTAAGTGCTCAACGTACAGATTCCTATATTTAGTTTTGGACAAAAAATTCTCTTCAATTCGGCACAGCGTACACTGAGACAAGACGCGAGAAAAACCTTAACATATTCAGACGCACATCGAGAATCAATATATGGAGTTCACACTAACAATGTCAAGCGCTGATTCAATGTAGAATATGCTATGGCTTCTATCCAAAACACACTTAAGGTACCGCCTAGGAGGAATGATTTCTACACCTATTAATGCGCTTTTAGTAGAAAGTAGAACCTCATCCACCTTATAAACATGGGAGAATTCTCGGAAAATACCTATCCACTTTATGGACGCTCATGTTGACACTAATGCAATGCAATCTCTACTAAATAGGGGCTAAACCAAAACAACTGTATCCCATTGTGGCACACTGTCTTCCTTCAGCTAAAAACATCTTAAAATCTTTCATTGCGTAGTTCAGTCATCAAAATTAGTGATAATAAATTAACTCAAAAAAATTCCCTGTATAATCCCAACGTAATTATCTCCTCAGAAAAAGTCTAAAACCCGAAAACGTTAATTGCTGCTTTGAAGTAAGATGCCTAAGTTATCTTTATTTAATTTATTTTTATTTTATTTTATTTTTTTTTTTTTTTTTTTTTTTTTTTTTTTTTTTTTTTTTTGGGGGGGGGTGATTAATAGGAAAATAAAACTACCGAATTGACTTTTATTTTAAATATGTAACTGCTCACAAAATCAATTATGCTAATATTGTATCGCACAGTGGACACCATGATCCAAACACCGTTTGACAAATTAGCCAAAGAAGTGGCGGTTAACGGTTCAACCAATGGAACACCTACCTGTTGCAACATCAATTCCCACCTTAAACATAGGATCATGCAGAAACAGAAAATATATGGGATTAACAAACAAGTAGAAGGACGCTTTAATGCGGAGATTCAACCTTCGATTCGTGAGTTACTTGGTTTCGAGACATCCATTCTCAAGAAGATTATGTTCAAGGTCTGCTTTGACCAAAATATGCTCTCATGCCACCTCTAAAAAATGGATTTACACGACATTGGCAATTATTAGGCTTTGGTAATACAAAATAAAATGTAATAATTATAATCTGGCAAAAATAATAAATGTTTCGACTGTGAAATGGATGTGAACATGTAAGAATGAATTAGGATCGAGTCGTCATATGACACCACATATTTAGTCACTCTTGGATTAAAACATTTGTTTCTTGTATTTTTCCCCAAAAAAATGAAAACATACAACAAAAATAGAATAATTACCCTGGTCCAGATGGAGGGGAAGAGAGCCGGTAGTGCACCCGAGAAAATCGAGGAGTTGGTGTGGTGAAAGATGTCGTCGGCGAGTCCCGGGATGAGAGGGTTTCTGTCAAGACCTGCGACGAGAGAAAGGTGCGCGCTGGCTGAATCTGGGACGTGCACCACGGTGAGCAGCCCCGGTAGTGTCTCAAGAATGCTGACATGGTTTCTGCTCAAACCCGGGAGAGAGACGAGCAAGAGCCGAGCGCCTCCCAACGAGCACGGCTCCGACCTCTTTCCCAGTTCCTTCCCGATGTCCAGACTCCAGAGGAGGACACCGATGTGCAAGATCAGACCCGACCAGGCGATCCTCATTCTTTTACGCACACAGGGAATTTTCTACTTCTTCTTCTCAACCAAACTTAGACTTTTTTTAAATTTGTAAATAGTGGAATGTAACCGGTATGCTATTGATGTTCTACTATGAATCACATGAAAATTTAAATAATACACATGGCACTTGCACAAATGTTGTTTTTGTTGTATGTTGTTTTATCTTTCCGCTGTTCCTTCTTATACCGAGGGCTGGAAAATTGAAAATGGCTAACTTCTAAGACTGGAAAAGTAGTTCAAATTAAGGTTTTATATACATTGTTATAACAGAAAAAGTACAATTTTTTAATGTAAAAAAATAAAAGTTGATAAAACAAATATTTACTAAAGAAAGTTTTATGTGCTAAAAAACAAGATGGTCTAATCATTTTAGATAAATTTAACATTTTTTAAGTATATAAAGACAAACAGCTGGCAGATTTTCAGGGAAAGGAATTTCATAACATTAACGTACATAACAGTTAATTTTTTGTTTTTTAATTTTTTGTTGTTTGTAAACAAAGTTTTTTTTGTTTTTTCCCCCAATTGGTAGTACATTACAACTACTTTCAAGTAGATAACAACTAACAATGAGCAAGGTAATATATACTAAATTAAAAACAAAAGTGGAAAAAATACCCAATGGTATTACTCTGTTACTAAATTAATGTTTGTTTAATTGATACTTGTGTCATTATCACTTTCACTATCAACACCATCACTTCCTAGGAGAGCTCGCGGCCATTGTCCCTTCAGTCGGCGAGGATGGTCCGAGGGGATTCGTCGGGATACCCGACATCAACTGTTGTTACAAATATATAAAAATAAAATGAGCTCTTTACCTAAGAAACTCAAATATATGGAAGAAAAGTTGAATTTATTTGATGTTGTAAAGAGGTTCTCGCGAAGTGGATATCCAATCAAATACATTTTTCAACAAAACAGGGAATAAAAAGTAGAATTTATGGTCATGTATCTGATTGTAATAAAACTATCAAACATTCATTGTCAAGTAGAAGACACAAGGTCGAAACACGGTTTTTGAACGTTGAAATGTTTGATGAAAATCCTTAATCACTCAGAAAAAGAATAAAAGAAATTCTAGATACTAAAATGGAAAATAATAATTACTGAAATTTTATTTATGAAGGTTAATTTTTTTTAATTAATTTAATTAATTTAAAAAAATTTAAATTAATTCAGTGGAGGATCCAAGGGGGTGGAAAAGGGGAATTACCCCCCCTCCCCGGAGTCAAGTGAAGATGTTATCTGTTAAATGTAATTTAGCCTTAATTAAGCGAAGAGACATATCTCAGGATTATAAAACCTTAATCTGTTACCTCTGATAAACCTTCCCTAAATTAAATCAGTTTCCTATTAACTGTTCACGCTTTGGCTTTGTTTACTTCGATCACTCTACTTGTAGGATACCAATAAGTCGATGTTTAATTTTAGGTAGATTTCTTTCAAAAATCTAACAATCACTAGTGATCACATTTTTGATCGCATTGAAGTGAAATTTGGCAGGATGGTAAAGAATCCTGTAAGGACGGTTGAGACTGTTTTTCATCCAAATCGACTGGGGTTCGCAGAGTTATAGGCGATGAAAGTAAAAAATTCAATCAAAATGTTTGCCATTTTTACGTTTTCTCCCGCACAACGAGTTCGATTTGTTTTACTTCACTCTCTTCTAGCTCCACCCCTCATTATTGGATTTTCACATTTTTGGTACCGATTTTAAGCTGGATTCTTCCTGTAACTTTTAAGCTCGGTTTGGCTCAACTCGAAGTAGTATTTTAAATGTTATCACAATTTGAAAAATTCCCATTTTTAATCGAGATTTTTTCTCAAATACGGTACTTTCATACTAAATTTCTTTCGTTTACAAGATCAAGTTTTTTTTTATAATAAAATGAAACCGTAGGTGTTTCTTAATTTTTGTTAAAAATATGCCACGATTTCTTTTGAATTAACAGAGAAATCACGGTAAAAAGCAAAAGTCCTTAAAATTGTGTGTATTATTAATAAATCCATTATATTTCGTGCTCCGATTGACGAAATAACTTCCTTCAATCATGAAATTCACATTCAAAAAGTCAATGTCACGAGCTGGATTCGAACAGTTCAAGTGTAGAGCGGCGGCGTATTTAGCCGAAAGTCGTGGGTTCGAATCCCGCTCTTGACACTAACGTTTTCATTTCAACCAATACCTTACATAAAGATTATTCATATATATGGCGTGGCCATCGCACGTCTTTTTCCGCAAATCTCCCATTGTTAACAAAAAGTAATAGCGAAGTAAGGCGAGAAAATAATTTAAATCGCGTAAATAAAATCTGAAATTAGGTAGATTACTAGTAAACCATTATTTTATTTTCATTATTTTAGTGGTCTAGGAAAAAAATGGCCCAAATATAATTTAATTTAACGCTAGCTGTTAATAAGAAACAAACAAAATTGATTAATTTTTTATGCTATTGCAATATGTTTATGATGTTACGTTTTGTATAAAATAAATAACAATACCCATGATTTTGAAATTATTTTATAATTTTTAAAGTAGCAAATTTTTAACACAGCTGGATTGCTTCCACAAAAGAAAGAAATCTTCCTCACAATCCTTACTGACGTGAATGTTTTTTTTGTTCGTTCATGTTTTATGCTAAAAAATTACATTGCAGACTATGATTTTTTCGTGATTAGACATGTCCTTCTGGTGCTTTTCTGATTTCTGCGTCTAATCTTCTTATTTTATCTCTCGATGTGATAACCTCTAAGTTGGTGATTAATTTTTTTTATATTTGTTAATGTTGTTGCCTAAAAACCTTTACATTGCAGACTATGACGGAAAAATATTTTGGAAATATATAAAAAAATAAGTTCCTTTTTGAAAATAAAGTATTGAAACTTTTTAATCAAGTTTTTTTCAGTTTTTCCTTTAAAGGAGGAGAAAATATTGCGTTGGGCGAAAAAAGATGTGTAAAGTTTTCTCTCGATTGGCACGTTTTTAAGTTTCTGTGCCTTAAAAAACCAAAATTTTTTATTCCTCGGATGAGTAACCTGGAACAGCGCTTGAATTAATTTTAAAATTTTTTAATAACTAGAAGATAATATCCGGCATATGGTATATTAGCCAGTACAGGCGATAACGTTATAGCCCTTTGCAATGTTAGGACTGGGTCATCAACTAAATTTGAGATCGCCTGTAAAAAGACTTAGATATGTCAATCTGTAAACATAGTTAAGATTTTTTGCAAGTTCTATATAGTTATATGGGTTGTTAAATCAATTGTAAAAATATTTTTTTCATAATGGGAAAGTAATACAGGTCCCGATGATGACCTTAAAATAAGTCGAAAGCTTGGTCATTGAAAAATCATCTATGGCCTTAGGAACTCTTATTTATACTTTTTTCATTCATAAACATGATACATATAAGAGCAATGAGAGGATACATGAGTGACAGCATACCGAAATATACTAAACCTACAAGACACGTATCAATACATTATTTATTAGCATGATGTGATATAGTTCAAGTCCAATCGCATGTTATTATTCTGCGATAATGTTATCAACATTAATATTTCGTTATCACGGTCTTATCGCACTAGCTATATCAACCGTTCTCGCAGTTTCGAAACGTTGACCCGAGCCTTGAAGGAATTCGACACTATTGAGGCAAATTGCAGGATGCAATTTATTTTAAAAGCCGGCGCGATCGATAAAGCGAAGAAGAAAAAACTTTAAAAAAGGGGTTCTTGTCTCTTGACGAACAGAGGGTTTCGGTCTTTTCCACAGAGACCAAGGTCCTCGGCTTTTTGGGTCACCCGGCTGGCTTGTGACTCTAGTGATGACGGAGAGCATCTCGATGCTGAAAATACGATAGTTGTGATTCGATAACGTAAATCTCGTCATTGAACTTTATAAATGGTCAATTGAGCAACTATTGGAGTTGGATTTACTGAGAATTCATCCAAAGACTTACCCAGCTGCGCGATTTTTCTTGGTATTATTGCAAAACTTTTTGATCACAGAATAGTTCTAAGTAATTTAATTTATAATTAGCTTTTTATAAAATTGGAAAACATGTAAAAAAACTGTTAATTTAAATTACATGCTTTTATACACATTGGTAACCAAGCTTGATAATAAATACACGGAGAGGCAAAAAATTCCACCCACTTGTAATATAACTTGATTTGTATATATTTGTATATATTAATCAAAATTTCACGTTTTTTAACGTTTCATAATTGAATCTTTGGTTAAAAAAGTTTTAAAAAAATGTAAAATGCTAAGGAAAATGAATAATAAAAAATAAATAAAAAAGTAAATAAATAAAATAAGTAAATAAATAAAAACAAAACAAATTTCTCTTCATTTTGTTTTAGATTTTTAATCAACATTTCAATATTGCGTATTTCCTCCTCTTGCTGTTATTACATCTCGAAGACGCCTCAGCATTCTTTCTATTGTACCAGTCTGGAAATGTCTGTTTGCTGGAGGTTAGCCCATTCTTCACGAAGAGTCTTTTGAAGATCGTAGAGTATCAGGAAGTAAAGGACGTGCTTTTATTCCTCTTTTGAGGTTATCCCATAAATTTCCGATGGGGTTGAAGTCTGGAGAACGGGCTGGCCAGGATAAGACCCTGATGTTGTGCTGCTGAAGTTACGTTTGTACTATGCGTGCGACATGTTGACGGGCATTATCGTCCATTAGAATAGGATTGTCGCTAATTTCATCGGCGATAGGAAACGCATTATGGTCCAAAATTGCATCCACATAGCGAGTGTCCGTCAAAGACCCTCCACGAACAACAACCAACTCTGTGCGTTTCTCCATTGAAATTCCCGCTCACACCATCACTGAGCTACGTTGAAAAGGTTGGCTCTGGGAAAAATTACAGGCTTTGTACCCCTGATTTCGCCTTCTTTACACTCTTCCACGCCCATCTGGAGGTCGTAGAGCAAATATACATTCAGCTGTAAAAAGTACAGCAGAACAATCGTCCGTGCAACTTTCTGTGTTATGGTCAATTCTCGTCCTCTTACGGGCGAAAAGCCATCAGTCCATACTGATTTAATCTTCTTCGAGCAGTGCGTTCAGAAATTTGGACACCTCGAATTTCCTCGAGCTGATGAATCCCTTGAACAATAGTAAGATCTCAAAGTCAAAAAACGGTCATCCTGTGGTTCTGTTACCCCAGGGTGTCCAGAACCAGGCCTTCTATGGAAGGAACGAGTTTCTGGAAAACGCCTAATCGCGTCTCGCAGTGTTT